TCTCCTGGTACCTGGGGCAGGATACTTGAGAGATTAGGCTCCGATTTGTAGCGAGTGGATTGCTGCACGGGCGTGCAGGGATTCGAGTACTCCTCAATCTCGTACAGATGATACTCGTCAAAGGCCACGCTCTTCTTGTCGATCAACTGCTTGGCCGCCGCTGACATAATCTTCAGAGGCGTCCCACAGCAACTGGCATCGATCTCGTCCTCCTCCTCCTTCTCCTGGACAGCAGACACGCCTCCAGGCAGCTGATTCGATTGCTGGCGACTGGCGGAAGTCGAGATGCTGCAGCTGGAGCTGCTGTCCGAGGACGAGGTCTCGATTTTGAGCGATGTGGATGAGATGGATTTCTGAAGCTGATGCAAGGGGTTAGTAGCAATGGAGGTGGCCGCGGTCGCGCTTGCACCCTTCGATGAGGTGGGTGTCGGTGGTGTGGGACTCTGGAACAGCACGCGCAGTTTCGGCTGCTTCACATGCGACAGATTAGGCGTCTAGGACACAATGTAGAGACATGCGGTTAGTCACAGCAAATTGGAACAGAATCTTGGCTAGCGACTCACCCTCACCTCCGTATTAAAGCTGGGGGGAGCTCTCTTGGGTGTGCGCGACATGAGGCTCTTGTGGAAGATGTGCTTTTTGATCGAGTCCCCCAAAGACTTGGCACTGCGTGTGGCCTCGTTGTTCTTAAGTCGATTCATTACCACGACCTGCAGCGGAGTGCCTGAAACGAGCGATTGGAATCAATGGGGACGGTGAGTGGGGGGAGGCGACATCGCGCAGCTACCTTGTCCGTTTTGCTTGTTGAACTGCTTGATGAGTCGACGCTTCTTGGAGGACTCCGGCAGGCTCTGAATGTGAGCGTACAGCTGCGCCAGCTCAGTGTCCGTGTTGTTGCTGTTGTTGGCCGCTGCAGTGGCGGCACGATCTACAGAAGTGTACATCGTGTTGACCGTCGAGACGTCCGAGATGGATTCGTCGAGCGTTTGCTCAGGTGACATGGTTTTCTTGCGTTTGCGCTCAAGAAAGTACACCCGAATGTCGGTGGCCAGCTTGCCGGGCACCTCGAAAATCTCCAGGCCCTGCCGAATCATGTAAGACACAATGCTGGACATATTCTTCGCTGTGTAGTGAAGCACCTCAGGCGGCAGTTGCCTGGGGCAGATGAGGTGCGGCGTAAACAAGGTAGCCAGATTCTCTGCAGACATCTTGTTGATCGCCTCGCGTTCGGCCACCGCATGGAGCATTTCAATAATGTGATGCAGCAGCTCGCGATGCTCTTCGGGCAGCAGTAGAAGGAGCAGCTGCACTGAGTTGAGGATATGCTGCTGACGCTCTGCGGTAGCCGCCATCTGACCACCGATCAGTGCCTGGCATAACGGCGCTATCTGCAAATGTGCTGGATAGAGGGCGTCTGTAAGCAAGGGCTCTGGCAACTCGGCCAGGAAGCTCTTGAAAACGGTGGCGCAGTCGTGGGCCGAGAATCCTGTCAACTCCAAATCCAGTGGCAGGTCGTGTTGGATGTGCATCCTCAGCTCGTTCTGCCTAGAAACGGCTCCTGTCTTGCGGAACAGTCCCTCCTGGGTGAGATCTATGAACAAGCAATATAATACAAATTCTTTTTTTTATCCTCCCTTCCACTTACTCTTGTTTAGCATAAGAAAATCCTTTAACTCCCCCAGATGCATCAGAAATCCTGCATCGATTTGCTGCTGCAGCGTTTCCGTGGGACTGTTGCCAGCCGACTTACTTCCTGCCGCAGCCGTGCAACCTGTGGCAGGACCGCGATTCTTTTTAGACAGGCGATTCCACTTTTTCAGCTTGCCCTTGTCTTCGTAGACGATTTCGTGGCAGGGCAAGTCGAACCTGCAGCACATTCAAGTGGTTAGCACTAGATTTGGGTGGGAGGGGAAAGTCGCTTGTGACAACTTACTCGTCGGTGTTTAGCTCCAGCTCGAAGGAGAGGTGCATGCGCACCAGAGATTTGTACTTTTCGTAATTGCAGCTGCGCATGCGTGTCGCCAGTTCGCGGTCGCTGGTTCCATTGATGTTTGCGTAGTCCACGTCCATTGTTTGATCCACTAACACGATACGCGAGGGCGTATACAGGGCGACTGCAACAAAAACAACAACAGCACTGCACCAAACGGGAAGGACTACCGTGGACTCGATTAAAGCTGAACACGCTTTAATTTAACAAATATGCGCTTTCTAGTAGTACAATTCAAAAGGTTTGTTGATTGACAGCATATTTGTTGATTGCTTTGCTGGTCGAATTTAAGTGCGGAATTAAGGGAGACGCTGGCAAACCGCTGTGAATTGAAATTTTAATGTAGTAGAGTTGTCACTGGTGTCCAAAGTACACTGTGTATGTCAATTTCAGGTGCATGTTGAAGAATGGCAATCCCTACATCAAAACTTTGATACATGCAGCTATAATTAGTTAACTTAATAACTTTAATAACTCGAAATTCCAAATTTTATTTCTGACATGCAACGTTTATCAACACTAATGAGTATCTCAAAAATACCGATATCCCGATAAGTTCGGTCCCAATATTTGCTTATTTTTGTATGTAGTATTTTCTAGTATTTTAATGTTTTAAAGGGCCTTGTCTATTCGTTTGCCTCTCTTCGTTTATTTTTGTCGACCTTCACTGCTAAAACCCTTTTTTCTGAAAATCGAATAAAAGGGATTCCCTCGGATTACCCTGATAAAATAATATGTTCAGAGAGGAGAATTATTGCTAGTGGGTGGGAGCCGAATACTAAAATCGACCCATATGTTTTCTGATCATTGTCAGAGCAAAATTTTAAATAGTGTTTTCCAACACCATTGCAATGTGCATGATGCCATTTAAACATTTAAAAACAGTAAATAAATATGTTGCACTAATTCGCATAGATGGTGGATCTAAAGAAAGGCGACGGTCTCTGCCAACTCGGACAAAGGCTTCCTCATTAAAATCCTTTTGCGTCAAATTCTGCTCGTGGCAATGTCTGAATGGTTTCACGGGGATCATTGTGGAGCAGAAGGACAATGATTTTGTCATTTTTCCTGACATGATCATGAACCCCCACTGTTTCCCCTCCCTCATGGTAGTGGCCAAGCCTCTGGAGCTTCTCTGCGGCAAGGCCGGAGTTCTCTTGCTAAATTTGTTCACCTACTCCGGTTCGGTTTACGATCAGGCCGCCTGGCCTACTTCTCCTGGTGCCACTTCTGGCAGTCGTCGGCTTATGTCTGCACGATATCGGTAAATCTGCTCTTCCAGCAGCTAACCAGCATGAAAGTGGTGCCCAAGATGGTCCAAGGGGTAAAAATGTACCCTGAATTTAAAAATAATTTGTTTTCCTTATTTTAATCTGCCAAAGTGCGGTGTTTGCTCTCTCTACACAATCCAAGTTTGATAAATTTGTATGTCCTTGGGCACTGCCCCCAGGCGGTTCCCTTTCGTTGCTTTGCTTTCCCATTTGCGCACAGTTTTACATATTCATGAAGGTCCTGTCCTCCCTCCAGCTAAGAGTCCTTTTGCTTGGCAAAGCTGGTAACTAACATCAGCTTAGCAGCATTTAATTGCTTCTGTTATCCCTTTTGAGGGCCTCTTTAATTGATAAATAAGTTGGGGGTTCGTTGTTAAGGTTCGTTTAACTCATCTGGAGCGTTCGATGGAGCTACGCTTAATGGGGCTTCTATGTTTCGTTATACAATGATTTACCCGACTTCTTTTGTGTCCCCTCGCCTGAGTGTGAATGAAAGCCTCAACCCAGATAGGAGCCAGAGTCAACGTCATCTGGTGGTCAATGCACTGTCCGGGGCACGTGACCCGGCACATAGCACCCACACAAGGCAATGTCCTTGTGCGTCTTTTCAAGTGAATTGCGCTCAAAATAGTCAAAACCACCTACCAGGCCGCCCAACCCGCCACTCAAACTGACTACCGCAGATGGTGTTGTTGCTGCTGCTGCGAATGTTGATGTTGTTGCTGTGTTGCTGTGTTGCTGTGTTGTAGGCAGTGCAATGGCAGGACAGCAAAAAGAGGCAAGCTGCCAGACATCACTAGGAATGGGGCGAACAATGATGACAATTTAAGGCAGCCACTGCCGCCAGCACCCATCCCACACATCCATGCCATACCATCCCAATCCTTCCATTCATGTTCCAGCGCAACTCAACTCAATCTGGGTCTACCTTCCGGCTTCGCTTCATTTTGTTTTTTCTTTCATTTCTTTTGGCTATTTGTCAAAAATGTTGCTGTTTGCTCCACGGCAACAAGAGGTCTGTGTATGTGTGTGTAGATATTATGGATTTAAATGGGTGTTGGCCACTTGTGCAGAAAGTTAAGTGCTGTTTAAGTGTCCGAGGTGAGGTCCGAAGGATGGTCAATGGTAGGGATGACTGATAAAATGCTTTTCCCATTATTGTTCCCTCTTCGTGTGTCTGCTGAGTAGAATTGGGATTAGTGCAGGGATTAGCTTTGCTTTGTATTTCCATTTAATGCCGATGAACGTTAATTCTAGTAAATTCGAGCCGAAATTTCATCCTTTGCTGATAGCAGCAGTCTGCTGATAACATAGTAACATGGCTTCTCTCTCTCTCACCTTCCGTCTCTCTCTCTCACTCTCTCTCTCAATTTTCGTGCTCTTTTGTAAGCTTCGCATACCAATGCTCTCTTTTGGCTTTTTAGTGCTGACGATTAGGCGGGGCTAGAACTTAAATTCCTCAAGCTGCTTTCCATGTATATAATACAAGTTTTTATTGAAAAGACAAATTTGAAAGCTATACGTACATATGTATGTCATAATGGAGGCAATTATGACATATAGAGAGACTACAACATTTGGATGAGAACATTTTACGTTATTTGGCTTCACTACTAAAGGCTGTCTTTAAAAGCCAGTTTTGTACTGGATTCATTCTAAGCTTTTTTCCGCCAAAAGAGCTCCACTGCTCTCTACGATGGGCTATAAAAGCAGGCGCCAGCGTTGCCAGAAGCTGAGTCGAAGTCAAAAGCTCGCACAAAAGACTCAGCTAAATAAACTAATTCTCCCTTCATGTGCAACTTGTAAAGAAATTCAGAAGGCAAACATTCGTGTGCTTGTGTCAGTGTTGAGCAGTTGGAAACAAATCCAGAACTAGTGAATAATGTTTGCTGTGTAGAATATACCAGACGCTTGTAGCGAGCATAATTTAAAGATTTAAATATTAGTAAATCTTATAAGTGAATTAAACCAATGCCCAACGCCATGGAAACAACATCGAGTTCGGGCAACAGCTCGAAAAAGCCGTTCAAAGTGAGTGCTAGGAGTTCATAATACTTTTATAATCATTCAAAGGCCAGGAGGCAAACGTCGACTGGGCCATGCCCTTTTCTGGGCGTTGTGCACCGATGTTGTTGTTGTGTTGGCCGCGTGCTGCGTTTTTTTTTGTTGGTTCCTTTTTATGGAAACTGGGTGAAACTTGCTCTGGCTGTAAGCAAAGTCAGCAATGCAGGAGAGAGTAAAAGCTTAAAGAGAGTCGAAAGCACAGTAATGGCTCTCTTTCAAAAACAGAAAATTGACACCAGCTCTCGCCCCTGTGTTTTTGTTTGCCTTTGCTTTTGCTTTGTTTGTGGAATTGTTTGTGTTTGCCACCCGTCTGAGGGGGTCCCTTTGTTCCCAACTAATTTGTTTATCTGCTGTTTAAAGAGCTCAGTCCCTCCCTACCTCCGCAGCTCCCTCTGCATCTTCAAGCCGGTCAAAACCGCACGCAGAACATTCGGCGTGCAAGGCAAACAAAACCGGAAAACCCAAAAAGTCGAAACTAATTTTAATTTCTGGCAGAAGCAGAGACAGTGAGAGTCTTTCTTTGAGGCCGTACCACCAGGAGAATGGAATCGGGTACCATTCCTGTCAGTTCGGATCCAATGAAAATAATTAATTCGAAAACCGCCAAACTCAAATCGGCTTAACAGCCCTGTCACATGCCCAGACAGCCATAAAAATGCCATTAAAATGGGAAACTTTTCATCCCGACATGACTCTGTAATTAGCACATGGCCACGCCCATTCAACACACCCCACCCACTAGGTCTTAAATAATTAATAAACAATTTACATAATTCCATGTCATGTCATAGTTGGAAAGCAATTGAAGGCTAAGCTATCTCCTAATTTCCCCCGGGCCCCGGCTCATAAAATATTTAAGAGGCGACTTGTGGATCGAGTCCAAAATGCAGATGAATTTCAAGGCTCTGCCCTGCCGCAGGGTCCCAGACATGGAGGCGACAGGTCTCCCTTAATGTGGGCCCCCAATAATTGAGCAGCTTGAGCTGGTTGTGATTGAAGTGCAATCAAATTACTTTGTTTGGCAACTACCACAAATGTTTCAAGTAGCAATTTTTATTGATAGAAATTCACGCGTTAATTGCTTGTTTTTCTGTTAAAACTTCTTTGAAACCCATACAGTGTGTGCTGCTACAAATTTTAATTACATTTTCAACACAAACAATGAGAAAAATCCTATATACTCGTACCCTTAAATTCTCACAAGTTTCATTTCCAAACAAACAACTCAATTATATTTTTGCTTCTGAAAGAGCACAACATATCTTTGAAATGTATCCCCTTCGGGTGTGGGATTCGGGAAAGTTTTGAATATGACAAAGTTTTCAGTTGCGCTGTTATGATGAGACTGGCGATGTTGAAAAGTTGGCCCGCTTAAAGCGGGAAGTTAATGGCGGATGGCCGAAGAAATGGATGTGAATGTGTATTCAAATAAAAAGTTTCATTTGGCAATGGCATTGCTCTATTATTTATGAAGGCTTCAAGGAAGGACCTGCACGTTCCTCAATGTTTTTTGGACGATACATTTCTCAGATCTGTTCGCCCGGCCAGGCCATGACAGACCGGCTCTAATTTATGTTTCGTTTAACCTTTTCGCTGAGGCAGCATTTAAGGTGCATGCAAGTTTAATGGAGCCTCGTGGAGGCATGTTGTCCTTGCGCCAAGCACTCGCTTATGGCATTTGGCGCCCGTCCCAGTCTCCACCGGCTAAGCATACAGCATGAAGCATGCAGCATGCAACGGCAAACTGCTGACAGGCATAACTTGTCAAAAAAGAGATAATGGCAGTGCCGGCAGAGGCACAGGAGGAGGTGTAGCACAAACGGGTAAATATTTGTGCCGCAGCCCGAGAGAAGTGCATGTCAAACGCCCCACATCCATCCGGAACTACAGCTGAGCTCCGAATTTCCGCTTATCCAGTCGGATGTCAAAGTTCTATACAGCTCTTTCTCGCCCATGCCAAAAGTCTCAATTAGAGCAAATGGACCTGCCATATCTTGCTTATTTATTCATGCCTTTCCTTTGTTTTTGCAAGGCAGATGGAGGATGAGGGACGAGGCAGATTAATCCGCCACGGGGGCATTATTGTTTGTGTGGGGGTGATTGGAGTAATTTACGATTAATTCTTGTCATTCTGGTCCAACCTCTTGTCTGGGGAGTACCTTTTGCTATGAGATTTAGAAACGCCTGCCGATTGAAAAGCACTTTATAGTTGACATTTTTGAGCACCCCGCTTCCAGAACCGGAAATGTCTGGAGGAGGAGCCTTTCCGTCCGTTTTCCGTTTGATTTTGTTTGTATCTTTTTTGTTTGGGTGTTGTCTGGTGCCTTGGACCCTATTAAATATTACCATTGGACTCTGGTCGTATGGCGGGATACCTGTTTCTTTAGCTGGCATCAATTAATTATTCATTATGGCCACATGTAACTGTAAAAACATGCACTTATTCCCTTTTCCTTTTCCTTTTCCTTCTTCTCCTTTTTCCATTACTGTTTACTGTTTGTTTACTGCCTTGTGGGGGTGTCGGCCAGGTCAAGGACGTAACGCGAAACATTAAGAAGGCCGTGTGCGCCGCCAGCCTGGAGGAGATACGGGATAAGGTGGCGGAGAAGTTCGGCAAGTGTGACCAAGAAGCGCCCACCATCCACCTGGACTCGGATGGCACCGAGATCGACGACGAGGAATACTTTCGCACGCTGGACGAGAACACGGAGCTAGTGGCTGTCTTCCCCGGCGAGCATTGGATCGATGTAAGTGTCCTAATTGGATAATTCCTCTACATCTTAATTGCTTTATACTCGTTGCGTCCGGACGCCCTGACGCCCTTACGTATTTACGGTCCACAAATTGAGTTTTGTGATGGAAGAAGAGCTGTTTAATTATATCCTTTGTTGTCCGTTTACAGCCCACGCACTACGTGACCATAACCACGCCGCATGGCAATGAGAGCGTGACTGGCAATGGCGACATCTCTCCAGAAGGAGGAGGAGGAAGAGTGGGCGGTGGAAGGTGTGACGGAGGCGGCGACACCACCGATGCCAACAACTCGGAGTCGGCAGCCCGCATACGGCAGCTGGTCGGACAACTGCAGAACAATCTGTGCAACGTGTCCGTGATGAACGATGCGGATCTGGACTCGCTATCCAACATGGATCCCAACTCATTGGTGGACATCACCGGCAAAGAATTTATGGAGCAGCTAAAAGATGCCGGCAGGTCGGTATAACACTCGAAACCGTGACTATAGTCCAATCAATGTTTAATCTTTGTCATTATTGCCGCCAGGCCGCTGTGTGCCAAGCGCAATGCTGAGGATCGTCTCAATTTGCTGAAGCTGCTCAAGGCGGGAGCCATCTTTTGCTCGGAACGCTATCCGGAGGATGCCGAGGCCATTGATCGCGAGATCGGGCGGCAGCTGAACGAAGCGGAGAGTGGACAGGTGACGGCCACAACGACTAGCAACACGCGCACCATTGAGGTGGTGCAGTGCGACAATCAGAACACGACGATAACCATTACCGTGGGCGAGGCCATCAGCACCTGCATGGCCACTGGCAACGGTGCACTCTCCTCGGTGGAGGCGGCGGCCAATGAGGCCAATGCCAATGCGAACGGGAATGCCGGCGGCGACATCTGACTGCCCATTCTGGGCAGCCTCAGGTGAAAATCTGTCGGTCGAGGAGTAGACTAAGAGCCAAGAACTTGGCGAACAAAACAACAACATCGGAGATGAAAATCAGCGAATGAAATGAAGAGGCGCTTACGGAGACATCAGTCCTGCAACATTGGGTTAACATACATATAAAGTACAGTTGTAGCTTGTAATTAGCGGCTGCGGCCACTGAGAACAAATTCAAACGAAACGAAGACAAATCGTTTCAATCGAAAAATCACAGAGAAAGCTTCATAGGATCTAAGAGTAAATGAAAGTTAACGGCAAAATACACTTGTATTAGTATTAAACAGACACACACATACATATATGAAGGAGGATTAGGAGCAGGAAGAGAAGCCACACAGCTTTGAAGAGTCTTTTTAGCCATCAGGTCAGTCAGGTCAGTGTAAACCCCATTAAACCCAGAAGAATAATCAAGCTCAAAAAACAACAAGTAGAAAATTAGATATTACAATGAGATGTAGAGAACCACAAGATAAATCTAGATAAATATGCCCTGAGGAGAGTTTCGTTGATTTCGGGTATGGAAATTGTTGATTTTCGCCTACTTTGGAGACTTTGTTCGTAGTTAATTGTATTTAATCGAGTTATGCAAATGAGATGAGACGAGACGCACATCAAAAATTGTTTTTACACTGATGCCATTAGGAATGTCATTCGTTAAAGGCAAATTGAGACTGACTGTATTTATGTGTAATAATCTTAATAGTTTTGGGTGGATGGATGGTTGGATGTTAGGATGGAAAAAGGCACCCCAAAGACACACCCTGGTTCTAATGCCAAATGAATTTAAGCAACGACAAACATTAACATTAGCAATTTAAACAGTAAACAATAAACGCGACATGCAATTGCACGACAAACAAACAAACAAACAAACAAACAAACAAAAACACCAAATATGAAACCCAACCAAGAAAACTGTCTACAATTTGAATAAGCAATAAGGGAGATCCGAATGGAAACAAAACAATTATTAACTTTAGCCAAAGTGAAACAAATGATGTAAACTATATACACGAACGAATAAATAATTGAACAATTAACACGAGTTGAGTGAACTGAAAATAACTAGCTAGATGTCGGTGCGTATGCGCAATATAGGAAACACCGTGCACAACAGGGCGTATGGGTGTTGCGTTGCGTTGCGTTACTCTTTCGCTGGCAAAAGAGCGAGCAGAGCTTGACAGCAGAGACAGAGAGCAAGCGAGCGAGCGAGCTGCGTTACTGCACAGAGTTAATTGTTTTAGTTTGGATTCCGACTTGGAGTCGGCCTGCTCTGTGACGTCACAAGGCTGTGACGTACGTAGCACGGGTCCGGCTCCCTGCCGCAGGATGGCCTACTAACACACTTTAAAGCTCCTTCCTTTCGCATGACCCAAATTCGTGACTACAGCAACAACTTGCGCTTCACAGCAGTGGGCACAGCGTGGGCGTGGCATAAACCTAATTACATTTATTTTTTTGTGGCCTTTGCACAATTAATATTTCTCATCAAAATAAAAACATTTTCCCGGCTTCCCACCAAGATCTGAACAGCCTTTGATGTGTTTTTAATTTTTTTTTAAATATATTACAAATGAAAAGAAACTCTTGGCTTTCTGTGACTGCTCTTGAAGTGCGGTCGCAATTCGCAATTCACTTTTTACATTTTACATTTTACATACATTCATACATATCTCCTATGGGCAATGGGCGTGGCTGTCTCAGAAATTTGTCGACATCCCCGGGCGTTGCTCTTAATTTGTCTTGAATTTCATTTTACTTTGAAGTTCCATTTTGTATTATGTTTTATTAACGTGAAGGGCGCGAAAGCAGAGCAATTTGGTTGCTCCTTATCTCCTTATCCCACTTACAATCAGACATCATCGGCAGCATCGTTAGAAGTCGCACCATGTGAGGGTCAAATGTCAAGTGTCGAGCGCGAGGTCGTTGTTGAGTAAACATCATATTGAGTGTGGATTTGCTGGGATAACGAGTCGCCAGCCGTTGGAGCGTGGGCATTCTACAATCTCTGCTGCTTGCCTTTTCTTTTTTTCTTTTCTTTTGCAGACAGACACACACACTCACACGCTCATATTTCCCCGAAATAAATGTCACGAGCTGAGGGGGGTTACCATCAGCCGCCTCTGGCTGTTTGCTTTTCTCAGTGTTGCTTTCGTAGTGCACATAAACAAGGAGTTCTCTAATAGATGCCGCAATGGGCATTACTAATACGCCCCGTGGCGCTTTTCATTCTATGTGTGTGTGTGTTATGCGTGTTGGTGTGTTTGTGGGTGGATAAGTAGGGGTCTGTATGTGGTGTAAGGTTGTTCATAATTGTGCAACCAGAGCCACGGCCAGCGGCAAACGGCTGCTCAGACTGCCTCATTTGGGTGTTTGGCTTTCCTCGGAAGTCATTAGGGTAAATCTGAGCACACAAATGTACGTACTAACACATGTACATAGTACATATGTAAATATGTATGTGTGCAGTAGCACACAAATGGAAATGGTAATGAAAGCCCCAAGCTGTACCCAAAGCCGTAGCCGGGAGCCAACTGTCAGTAATTCAGTAATGAAAATTTAACAAACTTTGGCAAACACAAATATGAAATTATCCGTTTTGTTTATCTTGATGCAATTGCTGGCAATGTCGATGCTGATGCTGATGCCCACATCAAATGGAGACGCCTTCGTGGACACGTCTCGGGGGGACATTTCCGTGGCCGAGGCAGAGGAAGGCTCCTGCCTGGTGGGTTGCCTTAAGGCGAGCAACATCAGCAGTGTGGACCCTCCGACAGAGTGTCCACAGTATGAGAGGACCCTCGACTGCACACTGATCTGTTTGTTTAGGCATTAGCAAAAGCGACAAACACAAAATGCCCGCAAGTGAGTATAATTATTCAAGCCTTATCTGGTGTGTAAATTAAGCTTTGTTCGGAGATTATTTCCACGAAAAATACGCATTTATCACTGTCCAACCTTTATCTAGATTTACCTTCACCCAACAACCCCTTTATCTACCTCATGGACGGCTTTTTAGCCAATTTCGTAAGCGAATTAAGTGTAAATGCATTTCGTTGTACACAAATAAAAGAGCATTCCCCACTCGCTCTGCCGAAATACAAATCAATTATGTGTTTCATTAATTTTAATTGCTTGCTACACATTTGAGTACACGCAAAGGGCTGTCGGCCAAACCCACTGTCGGCTTGGCTTACATATGTGCATGTATATAGTAGTCCCCTATAATTTAATTAAATTAAAATGTTTGCAATTTTTTCAGCTTGCACTCATATTGAAATTCCGATTTGTTTCTCTCTTTTCCGTTGGATATTCATTTAGAATGGCAACTGCCAGTGGAGCAAATATTTGGCATTTAAACATCCGGATGCCATGCCGGCTGAATCCTCGTGTGCTGCTCCGAAAAGTTCAAACAAAACAGCCAAAAACAAAACGAAACGAAACGCGGAGGGACGTGTGAGACGCCATGATTCCCGGCAAGCAGAAGGAGGAGAAGATCGAATGTCGAGTACCCATGAACAACATCGAATCGGCACAAAAATAAAATCATAGTACTCGTACCCGAGTAAGCTGCAAGGGTATTCGAGGTGCAACAATCCATAACCATTTAGAATATCAAAGGTTGAGCCTGCAGCCGAAAAGAGTCACGGACCCTGTGGCTGTGGCAATTAATCATTTGCCACATGCGTTGCGTATGACCTTTCTGAAGGCATCGCCTCCTGCTGCTATTGCTGTTGCTGTTGCTGTTGATGCTGCGCTTGCTGTGGCGACATGTGAGTTAATTAATCTAACTGCCCAATGGCTGACAGGCTGCAGACGAGGACAGTGGTACAATGAAGGTCATGGACTGTAATGAAACACGCCGCTCGATGATAAAGATGATTTTGGCAGCCCTCGGGCAGCCCACCTGGCTGACGCGACGCATAAATTTCAATTTGTTTCAGCGTCTGCTCGGGTAGGGGATGTGGGGGTTTATGCATTTAAATTGATGTGGATTTCTGCTGCATCTGCGAAAAGTTGCTCGCACCACGGCCCAATGCACAATTAGCGGACCGAGGCACATAAATTATGTGGCCCCCAACCGAAAGGGGAAATGAAGTCGGAAATTATTGCCCCGAAGGGCAACCAAGCAGCCCGCCCAATGTGCAAAATGGTAACCAAAAATCACTGATGCGATGCGGTCGGTCAGTCAGCTCAAATATGCATGGAGTGTTGCCTGCTTTTAGGCCAGGACTATGCGTTGACCAAGGACAGAGGTAAATCGCATGCGATTCAGGAATTGATCACGTGCACATCTCCAACAAGGCTGCAGCATTTCCGCAGTGCGTTGACAGATTGTCAATGATTTTAACCGCTCCATACATACATATGGCATTTAACGTTTAAAAATACGACTGTACATGTGCAATATTTCAGCATTGTGGGCTTAACACTGTTATAAATTGAAAGCCTAGTGGTCTGGCCTTTAACAATAAATTTGAATATCATGCATTTGCACCATGCCATTGACAGTTTGCTGTTGTGGGCTCTAATAAGTATAATAAATCGTCCTTTGTCATTTGTCCTTTGTCTCTCAACCTCAACCGAAGCACCTTTGTACTCAAACTTTTACCACAAGCTCTCTCCCTCTCTGTTCTCTTCTATAGCTTAATTATGCAGCAAGGCAAAAGGGCATCGGCATCGCCCCATCTCATTATGCCGGCAAGTGACATTTTTCATGCTTCCAAACCCTTTGCATTTATAGGAGTTTTGGCCCCGAAACTGCTATGCGAACTTTATTTTATTGCGTTTGCAAAGTTTGCCCTTACGCCACAAAAACTTCATGCTAAATTATTTATATTTACTGCCTTTATGTACATTTTCCTCCATGCTGTATGTACATGTGGGTGTTGTTTGGCCAAGTGCAACTATTTGCTTGGCTGTGGCACCTGCTACCGAGAAACTTTGTCCCATTCACAGGTCATAGAGTCCCAGAGAGTCCCGTCCCGGCCAGACTGTTGATGGGCGTCGTGTCTGCGTCCCAGTCCGGCCGTTCACATTCACCCTCCAAGCTAACAGCACCTTAACAGTCCTCTGTTAGCGCTCGCTCTCGCGCTCTCTCACACAAAAGCTCCGTACTTGGACTTCTTTGTTGTGTTTTCATGGCTTTGCTTTGCGGGTGTTTTGTGTTTGCAAAGGCCGAGGCTATTGCCGAGCGATGTCCTCCTGGCTTGTTTAAATACAGGGCGGTCGGATGTCTGGCAATTTATTCCAAGCTCTGCCGGCTTTTGTTGCACTTGGCTGTCGGAAAGTGTCGCATCTCGAACTCCGGCGGCGTCTTGCGTATCGTAATTTAATCGGCAACCAATTGGTGAAAAATATATTCAAAAAAGAAAACAATGTGAGGAGTTTACCAAGGAAAAATTAATTTAAAATGTAAACCAAAATCCACTAAGAAAACCATACAAAAAGTGCTTTAATTCAAATTATTGCTGACTTAATTTCGTTTAAATTAATTTATATACATGATGAAAACAATGTTCAAAATAAAGTCCAAAAATTGCTAAAACATTTAAACAAGCTTAAAACATTTTAATACATTGGCCGATGGCCAAAATTCGTAAAAGATTTGGTAAACATTTATACAGCTGGGAGAAAATATTATTTTTTGTTTCGAAACCGTTTCCCAGGGTGCAGGATGTAAGCGATTCCCACTCATAGGGATCCCTTACAGAGTGGCCAGCACGATACTTCAATTAATGCTTCCATCCATTTGTTTTCCTTGTCAGAAATCCCGTGTGCCAGACTCGAAAACTCTTGAGACGGAAAAAAGGGGGCCGACAGAAATGAATGCAACAACAGACGGAGAAAGTGCAGCAGGAATGGCAGATGCAGAGGCAACAGGAACAGTAACTACTAACGTACCTGGAGCACTTGCAGTAGCTAGACCTGATGCTGGTTCTGTCCCACCATCCAGACAACGGACATTGACTCGCACCGAAGAACTGGACGCGGATGGCGATGACATTGATGTGGATCCCGATGCGGATGATGCCGCGGACAGTATCACACTAGAACTGGCCCTCTCCCCCCACAGTAGCACGCCCACACCGCCGCCCACCATGTCCGAGGAGGATTTCGCCCAACTGGACAACAGCAAGCCCTTTAAGGTGGGTACAGCACTCGTGCCGCCGTACCCGAATAATATCCTTTGTGCGCGTTAGGCCGGCCCTTCATTCGCCATGCTTTTTGCTCGCTGGGCCAGAATATTGTTAAGTGATTTTCGCCCGCCCAGCGCGAGAAGTTCTGAAGAGTACATGGGTCCAAAAAATGTTGACCGTGCCTCTTCAGAGCCATCCATGCGGAGGTGGAGGGGCGTCGACATTGGTGCTTCTATTGCCGTCGTTGCTGAAGCGTTTGGTTAACTTTTCAAGTTTTTGGCAGAGCCGGAAAGAGCCGAAAAAGCACTAATTCCCAGCACGAAAAGAGAGACTTTTGTATATAGTATAAATAATATTTCATTATTTTGCTTGTGCTTCGTATTCTGGCAGTAGAAATAATGGGATTTGACCACAATGTGGGCAAAGGAAAGCCAATTTTGTGAATGGCCAAGAATTGAAAATTAATTAAAATGTTGAAACTGTTCAGCTAGATAAAATATCAAGAGGAGAAGCAGCAGGAGCAGCGGCAGCACATAAGGTGGGAGAAGCATGCGGGCGCCAATATCGCCACTCGATTCTGGCTCCTGCCATCGAGCTACGAACCAACCAGCCAACCAATCCAATAAGCCGACTCGTCTGCGCCTTTCCGTGAGACGATAACGAGGCGTCTGGCACTTGGCCACGCATCATCGGGCCTCTTAAGGAGCTCTGCCCTCATCGATTTATTGTGTGCTAAAGGCATTAAGGAGACCGCCGCCATAACAATGCGATATACCCAAAAGATCAGCGGGCCGGGCTGGCTGCATAGAAGATAAGCTCTGCCCAGGGCCGCCAAGTGGCTGTAAATTTGCCAGACAGACAGAGGCAGGAGCATCAGCAGCAGCAGCAGAAATAGCAATTAATTGACAGCTTGCCATGGCCAGAATGTTGGGAAATTTGGTGAAAGCCAGGCACAGTTGAGAAGACAGAGGGCAGAGACTTGCAAAACTGATGGATGGAAGAGCCAATGAGTAATTCATGGATATTTTAGCTAATTAATTAGCCCCCCTCGGGGTCTTCCTACACAACCTCATTCCCATCCATCACTCACCTACGAGTTAGTACTTGTGTCGGGGGGGTGATGCTCATCAAATTTGAAGGGCTTTCAACTGATGGAATATGAAATCTACTTGCTGGTAAAGGAAAAGAAGCTGCATGGGAATGAATAGGAATAACTGAGTTAGATTATCTTGGACGAATGTCAAGTTCTGTCAGACATAGAGCTCAGTTCGAAAGGGTTTGCTCTACAGTTGCAATGAGCACAACTCCATTTAGAACAGAACAGCTAGGAATTCAAGGTACTCTTTTTGTTCATGCTGGAAAATACACACAGAAAATCGAATTTGTCTTCTGTAAAACTCCCCAGGGAATGACATTGTACTAACGTGCTCTGTCGTCATTCACTCCACGCACAGTTCCTGAAACGCAAATGCGATTTCCATGTTGCAGTCCCTCAACAAATGGATTCACACAGACACACCTACCAGACCCATCCGCTTAAAAGCGTAAATCGTAAGGAAAAGCAGCCGCGTCATGAAGGGAATTAAATTACCCGAGGTGGAGCCCCACAGAAACGATGGAAAACATCAAAAAACAAACCAGCAGCCAGCAGTCAACAGTCAACAGAGAACAGCAAACGGCATTTAGAAAAGAAGACGTCAAGGGAGAAAGAAGCCCCGCCCGCACAATGCGTATACGCAACGTTACCCATTAAAACAAATATGCGAATATTATTCATGTCCGGGCAAGCGTGGAATCCAAACCGCAAACAAGAGAGATGTCCCTGTTAGTAATGCGAATGTGCTTGTAAATGTGTCGACAAGCATGCAAATTGCCTCCACCCACGACCTGTGGCGGAGCCTATGTAAAAGTGGGAAGCATTTCCCCTGAATCATGTAAAGTTCTCAATATTATTTCTATGGCAATCATGGCAACATTGGACACGAAAGAAAGGTGCATCAAAAAGGAAGAAAATGTTTCCCACAATGTAACCTTCGGCTGAGGCATTCTCGTCTCGCTATCGGCTTTTGTGAATTTAGAGCGCACCTCCTAATTGCCCACAATTTGTGTGGTCTGTAAGTGCTGCTAGTATTTGCAGAGCAGAGTAGGGAGCTGCATACACTCCGACACAGGCAGACAAACACACACACACATAAATGTTGTCTCGTTCTCTTGTGGGGCACTCATGTCGAATTCATGACTGCATTGGCATCTCTGCCCATTGTCCGTGCCGCCGCTGCTGGCCATACAAACTACAAATATACAGGGACAATATTGACAGTGGCAGGCAAACAGAAATGCGAGTCCCGTCGGTGGTTCTGGGTTAAATATGCTGTCATGAGAGTGCCCTCCAGATCGGGTCACCAAGTGGAGCAATTGGGACGATCTGGATGATGAAACCAATCAGCATGTCCACTTGAGCCTTCTCCTGCACAATGTTGAAAGGCAGTGGCAGTGTTCGATGGAAAAAGACATTGTTCCCATCAGCTAGGAGACCGTACAACGGCAGCTGCCCAAGTTATAATGAAAGATGTATAAAGGGCAATCAGAACCGCAGGCCATTGGCATGTTGCCCAGACTCTGACTGCCTCAGCTTGTACCCTTGCCCTTTACAATACACTGAATGGATTCAAAGGCAACTCCTTTGTCCAGCCCACAAACCAGTTGAAAATGTTCAGTCGCTCCGTGACTGGCATCAATTCGAAATCGCACAAAACGCAGCGTATGATACAATTTCATTGTTGTCGGTCGGGGCACCAGACAGCCAGACAGCCAGACAGCCAGACTAGCAGACGTCGAGACTCTGCCCAGACCCGAAAAGTTGTTGGCCATTTCTCCAAGCATCGTATAATTGGTTTACGAGTCAAGGTGGCTGGGGCATTGATGGATGCCATCGATTAAGATGTCGGCAAATATAAGTCAGCGTGCGGACTGTGTCTTGGTCAAGGCATTGCGATTAAATGGCCACAAACCGCCTGACAGTTGGCTGTCAGCAGTCGACACCTGCAGATCCATCAGCGTAGAAGGAGCCGAAACCCTTTGGCAATTCGCACAGCCCTTTGGGATGGGGCTACGTTTGCTCCGTTTTGATTGCTCTGGGCTCGTTTTGCCATTTTGCGTTCCGTTTCTGTTTTTGTTTTTCCTTTTTTCCGTTTGCCTTTCGCTTGACCCTTCCATCCTTCCATTACATGCTTTTACTTTCAGCCTTGCGCTCTAAATATTTCAGTAGCAATCTTTTAGGCCCGAAAAAGAGAAAGAGAGTACAAGGAATGAATATTCGTACCTCTGGCCCCCTCCATCTTGCCATTGTTTCAGTCACTTTGTTGCTTTGGTGCTGTGGCAAAGAGTCGTTATAAATTGATTGGTTGACCGCCTCCGGCATCTCCATCAACAATAATTGTACCATTAATTTCCTTTATCCATTGCCTCACCCCTTTGTCGCCTCTTCACTGCCGCTTCATTGGTTTTCTATTGTTTTTCTTAGGAGCTTAGGGGAAGTGAGAATCTGGTGAATTAAAACTAATTATGTTTGGGGCGCTGCCTTGCAAACGAAACAAATTATAATTAATTACGATTGTCGCGGCGTTGCTATGTTCTGCCTGGAATTATGTGCAACAATTAAATTGGTTTTTATCCTGCAGATCAAGGACATTACACGCAACATACGCAAAGCCGTGGTGGCCACCACACTCGCAGAGATGCGCCTGAAGGTGGCAGAAAAGTTCCAGCGCGCTGAACCGGCGATACATTTGGACTGCGATGGCACCGAAGTGGATGACGAGGAGTATTTCAGCACCTTGGAGCCGAATGCCGAGCTGATTGCAGTCTTTCCGGGCGAACAGTGGCGAGATGTGAGTTGACGCCTTAACGCCCTTGATGCCCCTTGAAGCCTTTTCTATCACCTTCTTCCCATGTCCTGCCCCTGTCCGCAGCCGAGCGACTACAATGCGAATTTGCGGCGACCCTCGCTGGATGCCCAGCGCCTCAGGAAATTGGTTAGCAAGCTGCAGCAGAACTTCGTCAATGACGACTATTTGGACAAGCTCTCCAACATGGATCCCAACTCGCTGGTGGACATCACCGGCAGGGAGCCTAAGGACAACGAATACTGTGCGCAGAGCGAGGCGGCGCGACGATCCACGGAGCTGTCCTGCTAGGGGGGACATCCGTGGGTCACATTGGAGGGCCTCCTGCCTCCTCGAAGAATGGGAATGGAACGCCGCTTATGATAGAAATGTAAGGAATTTGTAAGAGTTTTTATGGGCAAGCCGGAACCCATGGATTCCGGGTATTTTTGAAACACGTTTTGATGCTGGACACTTGGAGCGAAGCGACCGAATTGAAGCGATTTTGCGGGGCTTTAACTGCATCTCTAGAGCTGAATGTTGTCTATTTTTCGAGTCCACATTACCATAAATACATTGTAAACACTCTCACCTAGAACGCCCAAACCCGAAGAGCCGACCATTGTTCCTAGACCAATAGCTGTCCAATATACGAGTAGTAGAAGGTCTCCAAGGCCGAACCCCAATCTCTTAGATACCTTTACACATCGGCCCACCCAGTGGGCCAGCAAAGTATGTACCTATCCATCCCGTCTGTACCTTACCCGTCTCTCTATTCCGTAGCAAAGTCAATCTGTGTGTACATAAATGCCACTGTTAGGGAACAAAGACCATGTATAATAATTGAATCTGAATCAAATGTCTGTTGCATAGATAGATGTTCACACTTAGCACCAATCGAATTGTATTTAATATTTGTCTCGATTTGTGCAAAACAAAAAACAAAACTAGCAGAAAACTTTTGAGCAAATACGAGTAGTAATAATCGACTTTGGATATTCGTTCTGTCCACAGAGAAATCAATTCACATTTTAATCTGCAACTCGGCTAAAAGTTTGAGGTAAATGTGTGTGAAAATTACTTTTTATCAGTACAATACAATAAATGGAAAATAAATGTGTTGAAAAGTGTGGTTTTTCGACTTGTACCAATAAGTCCATGCCAGAGACCGACCACAAGTGGATGCCACTGGCTCACCAGCTGTAATTATCCCACACAAAAGATGCGAGAAGATGTGAGTGAAGGGCGCTGGTTCTTTAAACTCTTTTTGCTATGGTCAGTTCTTTGTAGTTCTTAGAATTTCTATGGGTTACTGCTAGTGCCGCCCAAGAACAATGCGCCAACACATTACTGGCTAAAGGACAAATACGGACTACGAAAGGTCTAAATCAAATTTGAATGGGGAAATGCTGTGAGACGGAAGTCGGGGGTAGAGCATGTCCCTTAATACTCAACAGTTTTGGGTCGAAGCACTGGAGTGCAACATTGATTGGGCATGATTGACCAATGAGGAGTGAGGAATGTACGTATACCGGATAACAGCCCGTAGAGAAAGAGAACAATTCCAACCTGGTCAGCTCTTGTTCTGTGAGCAGCACAATGGAAATCCGACAGATTGCCAAGCTAAATACTATAGCTCTGGGAAACGGAAAGCGTCGACAGGGACAGGGAACCGAGGAAGTTACATGAACAAAAAACACAAAAAATGATGAAGACCGGAGACCGGAGACCAGAGACCAGAGCAGCTGAAATGTCGACAGATAAAGAGACAGACAGACAGGCGGAAAGGCGAAAGAGAGACGGAATCACACATTGAACCTTTCTTTGGCCAGTGGCAAATGACCTTGCCTTTGCTGCTTATACTAAGGAGATAGGTTTCAGGGCTTATCTCTGTGTGTGTTTAGTGGTAACCCACTCCTTATTGTTCTGGACAACTTTTGCACTTTTCATTTTTGCGTAAAAGTTCGAACATGCGGCGGGTGCCATCTGGGAGGCGGATTGTGGATGGCTGCCAGCTGTGGTTTACATTAGCAACTATGAGAGATTTATGCACAAGTTATGCGCTCCTCGGTGTATGCCATAAACTTCCCCCTTAAGTTCCCATTCAGATGTCGGGGGAAACACCTGCGACCGCTCCCGTCGCGGCAGGGCAAATCCTTGGCTGTTGGCTGTTGGCTGTTGCCTGCTGGCTGGTGGAAATGATGCGGAAATGTCATTGTTGTTTTGAATCAAGTGCATTAAAAATGTATTGAATGTATTTGTATGTGCATCCCGCCCGCCTTTGGAATGCCTTCTGACAGTGCACTTAAGCTTAGCCCGTCTGGGAGTGCCGTGTCCCGTGCTATTGGGGCAGGACGCACATCAGCTCGAGGTTAGGCTAATGCCGTTGAGTATAACGGAATTATGTCTGCATGCAGCGGGTCATACCAGCACCGAGCCAGCACTCAACCAATGGCTAACAAAAGCAATTAAAGAGGCTTAAAGGATCCCGCTGCGACACACCATCGACAGCCATGTGGAACAAGAAATGGAACCCTCTGAATAGCGCCTAGACATCTATATCTCACAATGGAAATCTGATTCTTGGAATAAATGAGTCGAAAGTAAAAGTGAAGTTTCTACCGTTTTTTGTTTACTTTTTTCATTCGTTCTAGCAACTAAGGATATTAACATTATGCAGACACTCGGGATATTTCCATAAATTTGGATCAGTTTACATTTCTAATAATCGGGGGCAAAAACATAGCTAAATGCTCATTGACGATTGTCAGCGCTTGTCCTCCTCCTCCTTCTGCTCCTATTTTCTTGTAAATGCCCTATGCAAAAGGAGCCAGCGGTGTGTCAGGGGTGGGATAAGCAATCAATAGTATTCCAAAGTTCGGCTGGTCTAGGGGCTGGCATGGTGAGGATGTTGGTGGGTGCCTGATCGGTCGGATCAGACGACAAATTTCTTCTGCTCGCCGTAGATCGACTCGTACAGGGAGGGGGCGAGATGCTCGGCCAGGAAGATCTGCAACTTTTCGGTGGCCGTCACGGGCGTGTAGCGGGCCATGGGGAAGGTCCTGGTCACAGCATCGATGAGGACACGCAGCGTGGGCTGGATATCAGCGGCCTGTGTGTTGGGTGGCAGAGGAGGGATTAAATGCTCGTTAGTTCACGGACACGTCCCGCGTTTCTCACCTGGCGGGAGTACTTCTCCACCGACGTCATGGCCGCCTCGTAGTAATCCTCGCCGTAGGTCTTCTTCTGCTCCGACGATAGCTGGTTCCACATTTGCTTGGCCTGAAAGCAGACCACGAGGCAAAGAGGAAAGGAGACAGGAGAGTTAATGAGTTCTCTCTCTAGCTGCCAGTGTTCTGGTATCGTAAAAAACTAAGAGCATAGCAAGGCTGCGCTGCTCTACCTGTGTATGGGCTCTGCCATGCCATTAAATGGGGAGGGAGAGAGAGAGAAGCTTATTAATGCTCACCTGGTCACGGAGCTCCGTTTCGTTTAGCCAGCCGTTGCCGGGAGCGAACTCTCCTGCCGCCACCACGGACACATCCACTCCTCGGGTGCGCATCTCCTGGCGCAGGCAGGCGGCAAAGCAATCGACGGCAGCCTGGGTGGCACACTGGATGCCACGCACCGGCGAGGGTACGCGGTTCAGGCCAGAGGTGAGGAAGACCACGCGCCCATGGGCGCGACGGACCAGCGGCAGGAAGATTTGTGTGAGGCGAGCGGCGCCTGCAGGGATAACGGAAAGTATGGTAAGGTGGAGTACTGGCCAACTGTTCTGTACAGTGGCGCCATCACTCACCGAGTAGATTGAGATCCAAGCTTTTGCGCAGCACAGCGAATGGAATCCACTCAAGTTCTCCCAATGCAATCCAGTGGGCGCAATGCACCACAGCCCACAGTCCTTGGGCGCCGTGCGGCAAGTGCTGTGACACAAAGCGGGCAGCCTCCAAAAGCTGCCGATAGAGTGGAAGGGAGATGAGCTAAAAGCTTCGAAAGCTCTGTGTGCGGGACGACTTACGGTCTTCTCCGACGTAACATCCAGGTGCAGCAGCTTCATGCGGCCGGAGGTCTCCTCCTTGAGAATGCCAGCCTCGTCCGACTCCTCGATGGGCGTGTTGAAGCCAGCGTAGATGGTGAAGCCCAGATCGTCCAGTTTCTTGGCCAGGTACCAGGCCAACGGTGCCTCGCAGCCGGTGATTAGGACGCCCTTGCCCGAAGCCGACACCTGGCGGTCCGCAAATGGAAATGGAAATGAAAATGGTAAGAGTAAGGGTAAGGGTAACGGTAAGCGTAAGCGAAAAGTTGAATGATTTGGGGTTGGTTTGTTTAACCCTTTGACGGTCGGTCTCCGAGGCAGCCACTTAATTAATGTTCAATAACTTTAATAGCAATTAGCCATCTCCCTGTGTGGGTGTCCCAGGATGTGGGTGGATGGGAGAGAGCTTCTCCTCTTTCAATGCACACTTGAGGGCGTCCAGTCATGTCGGATGTTGATGTTTGACCTTTAGCCCAGCCAAAAATGTCTTTGTTTGGCTGAAAGTTTGTCCCCGCGCTACTCGGGCTACTTAAAAGTCAAGCCAGCAACTAGGCTTAACGACTTTCCCCACACTGCTGGACCTTTTTGTCTATTTCTGGGGTCATTTCGGTATAGAAATTCCCGTCTAACATTCAGCTCTGACCCACTGATGGCAGACAGACGACAGTCTCCCCCCCCCACCACACACATATTTGGTGGAGCAGGAAGATGTGTGCTCACTGATACTTCCGCCTCAGACACGCGCCAAACCACTCCACCAGCACCAAGCCCGTCCACCCATCACACACCACCCCTCTCCATGGATGTGGATGTCAGTCAACGCGCCTGCGGTAGTGCTGGTGTCATAACTCATCATGCCATTAACCAATGGAGCTGGCCCCGACTATGACTATGACTATTGGCTGGCGCTTGAGTGGGCGTCTGGGTGGGTGCGTCCCCAGTGTGCGTCAGTCGGTCTCGAGGGGGGAACCTACAGGACGTAGAAATTGAAGTGGAAGTGGAAGTGGAAGCAGAGATGGCTACTCATTGTTCGGGCTATCAAACTGTTATAAAGTGCTCGTAAAATTGTTAAAAAATGATGAGATTCGGAGAAAGGGAGGCGTTAGTGGTAGTCGAGGGAGGGGAGAGGTGGAGTGTTGGGTGTGTATTATTATTGGCCGTGCTGTTGACACCCATTAAGACTGGCCGACATTTTATTGTGGCCATAAGTGTTTGGCTTATCGAAATCTGCTGGCCGTTCTTGGGTGTAAATAAAAATAAAACTAGTCAGGGGGTATATCCCCCTCCCAATCCGAGTCCAATCCGCCAGTCCAGCCAAGTTTAGGACAAGTTTTCTTTCGCTCAGTTTTTATGCGAATTTACTTCATAATACTTTAGAGCGTATCCAGCAGGATGGCGGTAACTTTTGCCACTGGAATCGGTGGTTGTCTGCTGTGTTTTTCTGGCACCCCAATTTATGGCGCTGCTGCAGAAGTGACTTTAAATATGGCCACAACTAAAAAGCATCGGCAATTAAATTCTGCATTGAAAAAGCGCAGATAAAACTGAGCAGATGAACTGCAAGAGCTAGTAAAAACACTAAGCCGAGCAACGAAATGTTTAGAGTCAATTAAACTGCACTGAGAACTGAGAGCATGGCCGTTGGCCAGGGGGAATGTGTGTGCAGCTACAGCCACAGCCACAGCTTGTGCCATGAAACCCGATATAAAAATATAAAAACACAGCATTGCGTTTCCTTGAGAAAGTTCTCCTTTCGAGGGGGAATCTCGTACTCGGACTCGGACCGAGAACCTATTAAAATTATAACAAATTGGTCCAATTGAAATGCAGGATAATCCATGGCCAGCAATTGATTGGAGTCTGCTAAATTGGTCCAAACCGAAAGGATTATGTTACATTGAACCAAGTCGAATTGTGGCGAGACCAATTAGAAGATTGCCATTGTCTCGCTGCCTGTATCCTGACCTAAACTTGAATCCTCTGTGAGCATCGGGGAAATGTGTCCTCTACCATTTCAACAGCCTTTCGTGTGAACAGGTGAAAGAGCAAGGCAAAGGAAACGAAACGAAACGAAACGAAAGGATAGAGCGCTTATGCACGTTAAGCCGTCAAAAGAAACTTTGCCCAGTGCATGCACTACGTGCAGGGGATAAAAAAGCCGACCCCTTGACACCCAGCACCTGCCACATGCCTTATACCTTACGCCTTATGCCTTATGCCTTATGCCTTATGCCCCATGCCACCTGTCTAAGGTCTAACACTCCCTCTTTGCGGTCATGTCGTGTCTACCAGCACGTCGACTTGCGGTCTTTTTTTTAAACGTTCCCAAAATAGCAGCAAAACAGCAAAGTTGCATGCACCGAAATAGATTCAAGAAATTTCACAAAGAACACGACAGCGAGAGAGAGAGAGAGAGAGAGGGAGAGAGTGCAGCGTAGCCGGTAGCCCTGGGGCATGTCAGTCACCTTCATTTGAGCGAGTTGCTTGTGCTTGTGCCTGTGGAGAATTGCCAGAGAGAATGCGAGGGTTGTTGGTGGCACGAACGATTGCCTGAGCGGAAATGGGACTTTTCCACATTTTTTGCGAGCAAGTCAATGAAGAGGCAGACACAGAGGGGCCCCCTGCCCCTCACGTTTATACGCCTGCAACTGCTCGCAGTTTAGCGATTTAAATGCATCCTTTATTGCATTTTAATTGCAATTGCAACTGCAATTGGAAGCAGAAGTAGAAGTGCAAGTGCAAGTGCAAGTGGAAGACTTATGCCTCGCCCCACCCGAACCGGGCCATTTTCCGCACACTTTTATCCGCATCTGATGAATTGGAGTGGGGCACGCGATGCACGCCTGCACTGGCACCACACTGGAGCGCCACAATGCCGCTTTTCTCGCCACGAGCTCATTAAATTTGGCTTACGTACACGGGGAGCATGGGGGCGTACACGTAATATTTATATAATGCATTATGCTGGCAGGAAAACTTGCTGCTGGCCAAGCCAAGGCCATGGGGAGGAGTGCGGGTGGCCGAGAGCGGCCAACTGGCAGGTAAATGTGTAAACTGCAACAAGTTAGCAGCACTTTCAGAGCCACAGAGGAGCGGTGGACAGTGCCTCCTCGACCGTTCGTGTGGGCGAGCGGAAAAGTGATGCGTGCAAAGTGTAAACAACAATAGGGAGGAACTTTCCGGGAAAGCATGTGCGCCTTTATTTGCGAGAATGAACTTGTGACACGGCCGGGGAGTCCGGGGAGTCCGGTGATTGGGCAGAGGGGCAGACCTTAGTCCTTAGTCCGGGCACTGCGGGCATGCAGATAATGCGAGAGTGTCCGACAGGGGAATTGCGTGGGCTTGTGTGGGACTGTGTGAATAAATATTATTGGGAAGGTAAATAAAAAAAATGGAAAAAATGAAATGAAATGAAAGTTAACAGGAAGGTGGGTCATCAAATAAATTCATATCTAGATCAACGATAATCACTGTGATGGACAGGGACATGTACGAGCACTGCTGTAGCTAGAGAGAGAGAGAGAGAGAGAGAGAGCAGAGATTCTCCATGATTATGCTACAATACAATATGTGGAGTCTCCATAGTAAATTGTATTATCTTATTTGTACGACCATCATTTTTCGTTTCTATTCTCTATTCTCTAGTTGCCCTTTCCTTTCTCTTGTTTGCCTTTCTCTTTCACCAGGCAGACACATAAACCTACCCAGAAAGCGCGACATGCTTGACCGCTCGGGAGCCCTCGCATAATTCTACATAAACATAACGCAGGCAGCGTGAAACAGGAGATACGGCGGTGTGGAGTGCGAGTTTAAGTGAAAAATGGCAAACAAACCGCATACAAATTGTCCCCTCTGTTGTCACCTCCCCCCCCCCCCCCCCCCCCCCCCCCTCCCCTTCCCTTTCGCGCGTTGCTCCTCTTCTTCCGCTGAAGAAGGCGACGAAATGTGGCAAAAAAAAAAAAAAACAAAAACAAACTAAAAAGGAAAAGAGAGAGGCCAACAAATGGGAAACAAAGGGAAGCAAGCACACGCATGCACGCATATTAAATCAGTGGCTAAAAATAGCCAGAAAAGCTTTGCACAAGGAGGCACGAGGAGGATGACACACACCCACACACACACACACCACACATATAGAATCATATAAATTAACTGAAAAATATTTTGGCCAGGAGGGCAAATGAGTACAAATGACAGCAGGACAGCAGCAGGACGAGTGTCGAGGGGCGGCGATCGCCAAAAGTCATTGAACGTATTAAGCAGTAATAAATTAATTAACCGGAAAGTTAAAAATCATTTTTGTGTTTGGCTTTCCGCACGCACACAGGCAGAGCAAGAGAAAGAGATGGAGAGTGGATAGGTAAAAGCACGCACGCATCCTTGCTGGCGTGTGGCTGTCAGGTCCTTTGGCAACTTCACGCCATCCGCAGAGGACGACGTCAGCATTAAAGGCTTTTCGCATTGCGCATATGTACGACACGGTGTACAGAATGAACTGAAAGCCAAGGAATGGCATAGAATAGAACAGAATAGAATGTGAGAGATACATACATATTTGTATGTAGAATGGTCTCGAATGGAATGGAATCCCAGGTCACTTTGTTTTGTGACTTCCTCGTGCTTCAGTCAGTGCCTCAGTCAGTGTGTCTTCTGTGTGTGTGTGTGGGTTTATGCCACTGTTTATGCATATATCTTCCATCTTCCATCTCCCATCTCGCCATGTATTTCATGTTTGTCCATGTTTAATTAAATTGTGATTGTATTGCCACCGGCATCTTGAGGTTAATTAAAATGTAGTGCATGGGTTCGAGCATGGAAGCCAGTGCCAGCCCGAATAAGAGTTCTACAACGAATACTTTGAACTATTGTATGTACTTCAAATGCCAATCCTTGGACGAGCAAGGATCGAAGTGGTTGCACAACTGCGGTCAGGGGACTACCAGGACTACCGACTAACAATCATGCCTTGGCTGTTGGTGGCTTGCCATATTGTCGATTCGACCTGTGACCTTTGTGCCTCAAACGTGCATGATGCATACGAGCATGGTGGATGCACGGCTACGTCATGTGCAATTGGTTTTTAATTTAACTAAAATGCGCAGCTAAACTGAGTCTGAATGGACAAGCGGAGACCAGCTCCAGCTCCTGCTCCTGCAGCGGTCGACGGAGATGTTTTCCTTGGTGGCGGAAAGTTGTCAAGGCGTTTTAATGGCGTGCAATTCTAAGAAACGCAATGCGCGTAGCTGCTGGCCACATGAGACATGAGTCCTGATGTCCTTCATTGCCAGCCATTGTCAGGCCGGGCACGCCATTGCCATTTCTGAATGTCCTCTGAGCTCGAATGCGCATGTGTGTGTGTGTGTGTGCGTGTTTGTGTGTGTGAATCAACAGGCCACGCGCGGGACCATAAAACTGAAACTGTACCGAAACAGAAAAAGAGACACAGAGAAACAGCAGCGGGAAAGGCAGAGTGAGGAAGAGCGGACTAGCAAAACTTTGCACATAATGACTTTTTATGGTGTATGTACGTATGTGTGTGTGTGTGTGTGTGTGTGTGTAAGTGAGAGACAATTCTGTAGGGAAAAGGACAGAGGACAGAGGACAGAGAAGTTGGGACAAAGAGCAGCATCCTTCAGTTGCCTCAGTGCATTGACGGCCCCGAAAGGACCCCGGAGTCGCAGTTTCTCCTAATTGAGAGTGCAGTCCCCTCACTCCTCTCACCCTTCACCCTTTGTCTGTGTGTGTGTGTGTCGCTGATTTTTTGTTTTTGGTTAACAACTCACAAATCAGCGTTAAATTTGTCTATGGCAAAAGTTTTATGAAGTTGTAAATGCCACAAAGTGTGCAGGGGAAACGAACACTTATGGATGGCAAAAACCAATAGGAAGAAGGGTTTTACTTGACAATGAACTTGCTGCCACATCCATTAGGTGGCCACCAGTTTGCCTTGCAGCTGCTGCTGCGTAAACTTGCTCAGAAATACCCAGGGATGTACGAGTATCTTGCACTTCTTCGAGTACTCGAGTGGCTGGCTGACTCGTGGCTCCTGGCTCGTGGCTCCTGGCTCCTGGCATTAGCGAAACCGATACGATTTCTGCTCCTATCCACTGCAAAATCACCTGGGGCTCACAGGTGATGCTGGCACAACTTTATCTATGAAATCCAACGTAGCAGCACCGCCATGTGTCAAAGTTCAAGGATGTGGATGGGTAGGGTAGGGGAGGGGCCTTCAATTGTTTGGGAATACGAGTAATCGCACTTTTTGTTGCTGCTGCTGCTACTGCTACTGCTACTGCTACTGATTCGCGACTGCTCATTAGGGTTGCCAAGACAAAGCTATTAATTCAATTATTTACTCCTCTCCTCTGGCAGCCGACAAGTCCCGAAGAGACTGCGACTCTGACAACATTCCGCCTTTCACTGAGGGGCACCTCCCTTTGGGCAACGCAACGCTTAATTATGTGTATTACGTAAAGTGTAATTGCAACTGCAATGCAATAAAACAGACACGGACATGGACTCGGGCATGGACACGGAAACGGACACGGACACGGACACCGACATTCCGAGTGACAGACAGAGGGATAGACGGAGGGATGGGCAGGGCACTGGTACAGGGATGGGCTATTTAGTGCATTGTAGGATATGGCAGATTGTTGAGCATTTCATTAGTAAGCATTTACATTTCATTGCATCCAATTTGTGCCGTCAACAGTTGCCTCCAGTCTCATCCATCCATCCATCCATCCATCCATCCATGCCGCATGCTCCCTGGAGGTATATCTGTGCGTGCGTGTAATTTAATTTGACTGTCGTGACATAAAAATGAAATGCACAACGTGATGTGCAAGGCAAAACAGCAAACACAGAGTAGGCGCTTGAGAGAGCAGCCGCCAAAGACAAACAGGCCACGACAGCGAAAGCCATCGCTGGCCACATTTGCTCATATGCAAATGAACAGCCACACAAAGCGGAACATTTTCGCAAATAATTCAACGATTTGAGTAAATGGAAAGTGGAAACGGGACCGACCCTTCAGGCCTTGCGGAAACCTAAACAAAGGACAAGCATTTCGTGTTGCTCTCCAAAAATAAACCCTAAGGAAATGCTAATGGAAACGCTTTGAAATCAAATCTAGTTAACTACGAGTACCAATTTTACTAGTAACTCTTTCGCATTGCTGGAGCTTGGACAGCCTTCAATTAGCCACTCGAGGGAACATACTTTGACCACACAGTCGTCCATTGTGTAGCTACTATAAACGGCAGTATCTATTACTCTCAAACAAGGAGAGAAGAGCACTTTGCTGCATAAACTGGAAGTGCAGAATGCAAATGGGACGGAAGTTTTCAGAGCTGTCACTGCATCTGGGCCTGCTGCTACTGCTAATTATACTGCAGTCATGCTTATTACTTTAATGATGGGCAGTTCCACTTTCAGGCGACACCCACGTGCCTACGTGTCCTGGAAGCCAATCACCAGCGAGTCCATGCAGCACACCTGACCTTTTCGCGTAATTTCCGGACAGCAAATGGCCCCTGTCAGCCAGAGGGCCACCTCCAGATCTTTCCCGATAGTTAAACTAATTAGAGTGCACGCATATTTAACTTATCCGCTGACTTCGGCGCTGACTGGCGCCACCAGTCCATAAAGGCGGGTAAACGATGTTTAAATGAGTATATCTGTATGTGTTGTAGCATTGTTGGTGTCCTTTGTGTAAGGATGTGGAGTGCAGGCACAAGCGGACAAGAGAAGGATCAACAATTTACATTTTCCACACTCTTACTCGTATGAGTAATCTCTGGAATTCCGATTTATCCAGCTCTATCGCTCTTCAATGCCAGCCAACAGAGAATTATGGTGGGAGTGGGAGTGGGCGTGTCTGCTTAAAGGGGTTTTCCCTTTTTCATTTATTGTAAGCGCTTATATTAAAGTTTTCTCAGCGAAAATATATTCCGTTCTGTCACGAAATTTATATTCACTTTGTTTCTGCAATTCTTTCGGGTTCCGTCTGCACTGCTTCTCTTTTCCATCCTCTCTCTCTCCCACTCCATCAGGCTGCTTATTTATTTTGTTTTCATTTTCATTTTCCTACGCCGACAGCCAGAGCATGTGTGTGTGTGTGCGTGTGTGTGTGTTTGTAGTTCTGAAATATCAAACGGAGCCAAATCCAAAGCCAAATCCACAGTCAAGGGTTTCCTCTGGTTTAACATAAGTTGACGTTGCCCCACAGGACATTTTCCCCCACTCTTGGGGCCTGCCCGTCTATTTTTAGTACAACTGATTTGCTTTGCCTACTATTTCAGAGGCCCCTCTCTGCGGTTTGGCAATACCGACTTGAGCTGAGGCTGGGGTAGTTGCCTCGCAGACATGCCCCAGAGTGTGGCTGGTGGCTGGCTTCTGGTTGGGAAACGGAAACCGAAACCGAAACCGAAACAGAAGTTGACGCCGAAACCAAAAGCTATCCATGTCCCTATCCCATTTGCGGTCTCGCCGCTGGCGTTGAAAGGATTACACTGTTTGAATTTTGTATTGGAGCCAGCCAGCCCCTTGGACACGAGAGTGTCGTTACGGACTTACCTTGACGAAGTGGTAGAAGAGCACAGCGCCCACGGTGGCCAGGGCGAACCACACGAAGACGGCGAAGGTGGAGATGCTGGATATGTTGAGGGCATGCAGCAGATGGGAGCTGACGATGGCCGCCGCCTGGCAGAAGAGGAACGGCATCGACAGCCGCTCGAATATGTCCCAGGGTATCTCTGCCGATTTCTGGGGCAGTGCCGAGATCGATCCACGACGCAATGAGGCACGACGCGAGGCACGGCGCTATTAAAAAGAGAAATAGAGAAATGTACATTTGATTATAAAATATCTACGACCACTCGTGCACCTCGCCATATAATTATTCTTCTGTTTAAACAAACAAATGCGAATTTATTTATAGCAAACATAACAATTTGGGCATTGTTTGTGGGGTAATTATTTGAAAACGACTAAATTAAATGCTTTTGGGCCGCTAATGCTGCTCGTCTGTGTTTTGGTCAATAAACAAGACGAATTCCACTCACATTTTTGGGATTGTTATGGATTTGCTCTTTGCTAGCAGCAGATTTGGATTGATTTGAAATAAAGCTGCCTGCCATGCATTGATTGGCAAATCCGTTCCATGTGCCACAGTCGAATTTTGCCTTTCAATTGCAGACACCTAGCGTCAATACATCATCGGAAATTTCATTAAACATCTTGCCCATGCCCCGCACCTTCCAATCCATCAGGACCCTAACCCACTCATTCCCACTCAACCCACAAATTGACATTGACATATAGCAATTACACATGACGTGCACAATACCAGTGCAAAAATGGAAAGAGGAGAAGAGAAGAGTGGAGAGGAGGGAACTACTAACCGAAAACCTCAACCTCAACCGAAACCGAAACAGCAAACCCGCTTTGGCCATTGGCCATAAATCAACGACAGTGCGAAATAATCAAATGGCGGCATCTGCATAAATACTACAGAAGCCAATTGATTTATTCAGCACCGAAAATAGACCATTTTCATTGCCATTCGCATTTCCATGGGGTTCTTTGGGCTCTTCTTCGTCGCTGGAATTGTAAAACTCTCCTTTGGTCTATTTATATATGTCGTGCTCCACTGGGTATGGATGGACGTTGTCTTTGCTTTCGTCATCAGCAGCGACCTTGTCACCAATTCGGTAGCCAGCCTCTTGGAGGGGACGCATACCAAGACCTATGTAATTCTAACAATAATCTTACACAGGAGCTGAAAGCCGGCCCACATGATAGCCACATATCTAAACTAGAGTCTCCCCTCGTATACACACATACAGAACATGTAGTCCGTACAGAAATATGAATGTTTGATATGTATCGGCTCACTCAGCTGCCAAGAAATCATCTTGTGGGGAATACTTTGTGGCTGTTCGATGCGTAAAACAGTTTGGTTTGTCTCCAAGCTTATTTAATTATTAATAAATATATTTTTAGATCATGTGGAATAAAATTCAATGCAGAATGAATATTTCTAGACCGGACAAATATTTCAAATGAATGCGAGTATATCGAGTACGGACAAATGTCTGTGTTTGTATTGCAATGATCGAAAAATTCCAGTTTAATGCCAAATGTGTATATTCTGGAACGCATTCTCGCATCTTGATCTACATACACACAATAATAAGCAGCGAGTGTGTATTAGGCAATGAATCTGTTTCTTATATAAATGCCGACAAATGTCAGAGTTGAGGCAGAAACTACATTTGAAGACAAACTCATTCTCATCTTATTTACACATTTAAAAAAGAAGTAATTCGCACATCCGTGGTAGCATTTGTATCCTAATCTCAACACTCTCTGCCCACTCTGCCTCCTGCAATTGTCGGTCTCTCGTACGTACGTACGTTGACCCACTTGGATCGCGGCCACTAAGTGAATTTTTGTAATTAATTTGGCGGCGCATTTTGAACACCGCATGACTTCCTGTCTCTCTCTATCTCCCTCTCTTATCCATTGTCGTCTTTCTTTCTTCGGTTAACAGACAAAACCTTTTTCTGGAATTTGCGGCCAAAAGAGGCGTGGTCGAGGAAGTCAGGGACACACTAAGGACCCTTGCGACTTGAATTTGTGTATTGGCATTTCTGGGTTAAGCTAACTGGGCTAACAGCGTAGCTAGGTGCTCCACCGGGCTGATGTGGGAAGAGGGGCACAGGACGGGCAGGACGGGCAGGACGGCCAGGACGGAGCTGCGACAATAAATTTGGCTATGGCATGGCCTTTGGATTTTGGGGAGAGGGGCGCGAACCGAACACAAACAAGGGGCCAAGTGCCTGTCCAGGATACAGGAAACGGATACAAATGGCCCCGATTCGGGGCGACATTTCACTTACCATATTGTTATCGAAAACCTGCATGGTGACGAATGCTGCTGCTGCTACTCCTTCCTGGTATCGCTTCTAGAGGGTGGAAAGAGCACAAAGATGGTGGATGCAAAGGGCTGGCTTCGACTGCGTCTCCAGCACTCACTCACAATCACAGCCTTGTGGCTCGGCTTGGTCAAAAGTGTTCACAAGAGAGTTTTGAAAAATGTTTCGAAATTGCGTTTTCACTTTACATATACTCGGGGCGGGCAAGCTCTCGGAGGGGCTCGTGGCCTGGGCGCAGTGAAACACGGCGTGGCACTAAGCAGTACGATCGACTGGCGCTGTTTGCAGCTGCCCCAAAACTCATTTTCTCTCGCCTCAGTCGACGTCGACGCTGTATATTCAAAATTTGTCGTTTTGCCGTTTTGATTTTTTAAAAATATATCTCAAAAATACGTGCATGTGCAGACAGACACACACGCATACGCACACACACACACACACACACACACACACCAAGAGATACAATGGAAACGCAGATACATATTCCGCTTTTTAGATAAATAAATATCTTTAAATTTGTATATTTTTGCCGTTTTGCTCCCATCCGCCTGCCGCCGCTTTTAAGCATTGTGGAATATATGTATTTCCAATACACACACACACACACACACCCACAGAATCGAGCACACAGCTAAAGACACATAGATACACAGATACTCTAGTTTGCGGCCGTAATATATATGTCGGTCGGTCGGTCGCTCGTGCAGCGTGCAGCGTGCGGCTTGGGGAGTGGGGCAGTAAGTGGTAAATTTGAATATTGCTTTAAAATGTCGCCACATTAAATCGAAAAGTACTCGAACCTACCGCGTATATATACCGAGCACATAAATATTTATGGAACTCGTTAAAGGAGGCCAGCGCCATCGACCCACAACCCAGTGTTCCATTAGCGACTGTAACGGGATGGGCCTATGGGGGGTTTGCATTTGGTTTATTTGCTTTCGTTTTTGTTTCATTTTTGTGTATACTTTTCCGTGACGTCACGGTGCTTGTGTTTTTATTATTTTATATTTGGTTTTTGTTCATTTGCAAAGTGCAGTTTTGCAGGCAAATTAAACGATAATTGTTTTTCATTTTGCATATTTGCATCAAAATCTACTGGCACAGGAGTGGCCAGTGGAATAGAATTAAAAGTGATTACAGTAACAAATTTAGTTATGAAAAAGTTTTCTTCCTGAGCGGTAAACAAGTAAACTAACAAGTAGTCTCAGAGATTAAAAATGCTAAACATTGCCTTGTTCAATTGCTGTAAGTTTCCCCCTCAACAGTTCCAATCAACTGTCTACATTCGGGATATTTCTTTCTGTTTCTCAAGTTGTTGACTATTTTTATTCTATTTGCTTCTCTAAGTCTTGACTATTTATATCATTTTCGGTATCTGTTATTGTTTATGAATGTCACCAAACATATGTATACGTGTATACTCCAATATATTATTGTTATGCACAGAATTTGTTGACTGGCCGATGCTGATGCCCGGCTAAAGGAAGACAGTACAATAAATTGACGTCTATATTGGAGATTTGTGAACACAAACATATACTCAAGTATACCTAAATAAATACGCGCATGAATAGATGAAGAAATATTTGCCTGCGGAGCAAAATGGAAGCATATGTTTCTGCAACATTTCAGATCGTTTCTTTTCGACTGTCTGTCAGTGCCGCCAAATTAACAGAAAAGTTCATGTCTTCTTTCTTGTTCACTCTTTCTTTCAGAATGTCCCCAAAAATTGTTGTTGCTTCGGATTGCAGTGTAAAAATAGCCAAGAGGCTAATGGTCGAAACAAATGTCTTTGGACAGACTTCTCTCTGGTATGCTGCGCTGCGCACTTCGAAACACAAAGAGTGAAGATTTATGGACCGCTGGTTGTGCCAGAAATCATAAAACGCAGCAGTCAAGTCATCAATCAGTGGGAGATATAATTAATTAATACATTATTAGCATTATTAACAGAAGCAATGAGGCTTTGAAATACTCGTCTGTTCGGCAAGTACAAAATTCCAAATTATCGGCCACAGCCTCAAGTATGCCCAAGGCAAAGAAAAAGGTCAAGGAGGTGGACTGGACTGCCGATGAGAACTTCAGCAAGGAGCGCTCGATAATCTACGTGGAGCACACCACCGAGTGCCCCATTTTCCAGATTAAGGCCGAGGAGTGCGGCGTGTTCTTCCAGGAGCGCATTCCGGAGCGCCAGTTCCAGCTGGTGAGGAACAAGAACGGCAAGCAGGCGCCCCGCGATGGCGCCTTCGAGATTGGCATCTCGCAGAATGCTCGCACCTCCGTCCACGAGCTGTGGTCGGGCCTGACGAAGGGTCCTCCAAGACGTGACAAGTTCCCCAACGACTTTGAGGTGCTGGTGCCGGATGTGCAGCGAGTACTGAAGAAATTCTACCCCGACAAGGCGGTGGGCATCAGTGACGACGAGGAGGACCACACCGACTACTAACAGAATTTAGCATAACAATGCGCTAATGCTGCTTCTTATCAACGTCAACATCAATGGCAAAAGCGAAGACGAAGATGAGCAATCAGGCAACACCTGTTGGGACAGCCAAACCGAAGTCGCCTCCACCAAGTCTCTCAACGTCACTCGTCCCCAAATAATATTCAAGCGATTAGCGTGACTCTTTCATCTGCTATTGGGGTACGGGTACAATGCTGATTGGTCTCATTGTTGTGCTGCTGCGGATTCTGCTGCTGAGTGACGTCCCGACACCGCCATGTGACAGCTCTTTTCAGAAGCTAAATGCTTAAATCGACAAAAGATAATTAACCGAAACACAAAGCTCTCTCTCGCACATCCACAGCCACAGCCACAGCCACACCCACACATGGCCGGCATGGTATTCGCACTACTCTCGGGGGACACCCCAGCGACGTCCCATTGTCTGACAGCCCGACAAAGCGAAGCAAGCCCCAACAAACAGTCAAGTCAGAGTCCTCTGTTGGCAAAACAAATAACCAAAATGCAATTTCGCAACACAAATTCAATGGAATAAAAAACGATGTAACAGCAGCCATGAAAATCCTTCGATTGTACTACTACAAACATAACTTTAGGGAAGGAGTTGGTAGGAAAGGATGGGCATAAGTTAACCATAAAATGCTCTAACTAATTCGATTTAGTGTCTGCAAGTATTTCAGTCATCAATTATGTTCGACACAGTGCCCCGAATCCCATGTATGTTATATCAAAATATATCTATCTGTTGTTCCACTAAGTTGCCATGATCAACATATACAAGTAATATATAAATAAATAAATAAATAATGAATCAAATTGGAATAGCCATGCTAGCCCAGAGGCTTCAACTGCATGCCACGGCCAGCAAGTCATAAAAATCCAATCCAAATTGCATTGTGGACCAACAACATCTCCCTACCATCCCATAACGTATCATGCCGTATCATCCCATCCCTGGAGGTCTGGCAACATTTGAACAATAAAACTGCAGCAGTAGCAGCAGCAGCAGCAGCAAAAGTTGCAGGGCAAATATCAAGCCGAGTGGGGAGGGAGGGAGTATGAATAGTAGTTAGATGATTGGTTGGGCAGCCAAATAGAATGGGATGGCAGAGGATGCGAATGGGAATGGGCCTGTCTAGTTTGCATATCGCTAGCCGGATTAGCATGTAAATTAACCGGGCAGCTGGCAAGTGCAGATGCTTTTTTGATTGCCTGCCATGAGCCTTGCCCCTGACGAGGCGTACAATGTTATTTGACTTTATCGTTGATCTACCAACGATAGCAAATTCATTTAGTTATAGTTCTAGCGTGAACAGATAATTTAATATCAAATTCATTCATACAGAGACGAACATGTAGCACAGCATCCGTGGCGTAGCATCGTATCACCGTTAATATTCATATAAAGACTGTGAAAAATGGAATGCTGCAAATTACAGGAGAATAAACCAAGAGACGACACTGAAATATTTGTCAGCGAAAGTAAATGAGCAGCGGCAACGCATGCCGGCGAACAAAACGACCCAGAGTCGACTTCGGGATACCCGCGAAACGAAAGCTAAATCTATGGCAAGGCTTAACATGTTCGGTTTTTCGATCGACACAAACACAATATACCCCTGCACTTATACTGGGCACAAAAGAGGCCACACCGACACCGATTTCAACAGAGTTTATGTGAATTTCCACTGCCACTCGCTGAGACAAAGAAACACAAGTCTGAGGCACATTTTTCGTGTCACAATTTATTTGGGTTGTTTGGGGTTGAGATGCTTCTTCCTTCTTTATTATGGCAGTTGCCGGGGAAATGGAGAAATGGAGAAATGGAGAAATGGGTTAATGTCCAGTGCATGGCCATGGAAATGCAACCAAAAAAGCTAGAAGCAGGCAACAGGAAGCAGGAGTAGTGCCTGCATGTGTCAGTTGTCGCACGCATACAGAAGGGAAAACTGTTGGGCTCCGTGTAGAGCCAAGGACAACGCATGGCAACTGCCAAAGCTGTAGAAAAGTCCAGGGAATTTTAATGGAAACAGACCGCAACATTTTGCATTAGAGTCTATTTTTACACAAAGTAAAGTTGGTTTTGGGACAGGCCGAGAGCTTGGGGGCTAGCCAGTGGGCGTAGTGGAGTGGAGTGGAGTGGAGTGGAAAGCATGTTCTGGTCTGTGCCAAAAGTTGTTTGGCAGTCGCTCTGGCGGCTACTCTGCTGATGCAAAAATAATCTACGCACAAGAAAACCCAGAGATGGAGAAAATAAAGTGAAATTTTGTGCTATTTTTAAATTGCAGTTCCCGGCCCTCAGCACACACACACAAACACACAAACACACACACACACACACACATCTGGTTTAACCGTTTTACCATCAATCCGGAGCTCTTTGGAGTGGCTTTCCCTGCGTTTACTTGTGATTCGAGCTCGCATAGGAATAGGGGCTTAGCCATAGGCCCCACCAACAGTTGCAAGGTCGTATCCGTATCCGGGCACGTTTGGTTTCCTATCTATCTCATACCGTAACCATCCCATGGATGGCCATCTGCGATCTGGCCATCAATGTGGGTGTGCAACAAATTGCAGCCGGATTTAAGGGCAATTTATTTCGCTCAGAGAACGAACCAACGAAGGGGCATCAAGTCGGCAGGGCAAAGGCCACAATCTGCCATTTTAGGCTTTGGCATTTGTTTTATCGCGCCTAGACCCAAGCGCACGTCGGTTCCGCATAGGTTGGTGGCCCCTCCACATGGGCTCGAGTCCGTATTCCGCACTGCTCTGGAGGAGCCTGGAGGAGAGGAGAGGAGAGA